AAGTTTTGCCCAGTTTATTTTTCTTCTATGAAACAGTATTTAATGACCTTGTTAAGGCTGGCACTGCTCCCAAAATGTCTCTGTTTTGCACTGTGCTTCACTCTTTCATTCCACCACTAACTACTCTCATTTGCTTTCAATTTGAGAGTCAAATTCCCTCCTTTTTCAGAGTTTTGTTCTTAACTTTCCAATTACTTTGCTAATAGTAATATGTGATTATTTCCAGCTTAATTTTTATTTCAATCTCAGTTATGAATTACTCTTTTTTATTTAGTTGGAGATTACTTGAACACTTATTAGTTAATGGTTGAAATCACTTTGTATCCATTATTTTAGATTTTAGGTGTTTGCTTGACAATGTTGACTTTAACCCAATTTTGGCAACATTTATTGAAAACCTAGTCAAAAAGAAAACACTGCTAAGTTCTGCAGCAGATGTAAAAGGATGAGAAAAATACAGTTTGTCCCAAGGAATACACTGCCTGATGAAGCAGAAGGGCATGTACTTAAATAGCTTTTTAAAAAGACTGAAAAGATTACTTCTAGAATGTATGCAAATGACAAAACTGTGGCAGATAATTTCCTTGAATCTCACAGCCAGTTTCACTGAAATCAGATCTCTTGGTCCTTTATATATCTCTTGGTTACTATTAGGTCTAATAGCTTCATTTCTTTGTGGAATGTCAGAGGCTAAGCAAAGAATAAAAATATTTTAGATCTTTCTGTAACATTTTGGTTTTCTTCATATATGTCACTAAATCTCTTGTAACTGTGCATTTCCCTTTATTTTTTAAGAAGCCATGCTTATATTACCTTGTAAAGATCCTTATAATGATGCACTTTTGAATTAGCTACTGCTCTATGTGAATACTGAATACACTAGAATTTCTTAAATAAGAAAAAAAGGCTCCAAGAATCTGTGCTCATTCAGTATTAGTCTTAGTGAACTGTGTAAATAGCAACTATATTTTAGGTTAACATAATTTTGTATTTTCATATGGCTTATATTAACATTATTGCCTTTGCTTTTTGAAAGATATTCATAGATTCTAACACTGTATAAATGTGAATTTAAATAAGAAAATCCTTGAATTCATTAAAACATTTCTAGTCCTACTTGATTTTTTTTCTTTTTCTTTTTTTTTTGGTACCAGGGGTCGAACTTGAGTCCTTTCACTTGCAAGGCAGGTGGTGGAACCACTGAGCCAAATCCCCAGCACCCTACTTGCTTTTTTTAATCACTTATTTCCTTCATCAAGAGTTCCAAAAGGGTTAATCTGAATGAGAGCTGCTCATCTTGCTACCTAAAACCTCCTTACTTTATTCTTGCTAGTAGAAAAATCTCATAATATATCATAGAGCTTATACTGGATTACTCTTCTATCACTGAAAACAATTCCTGTTTAATATTATCTGCTCTTGAGTGCCGATGTGTGTGTATTCAAATTAAACAGAGCATTGAGGTAAGAAAAACCTTATTACTTTTAGAAAATTTGTATTAACCTCACCCTTAAATACAAAAGTTAGTCTTTCTGTTCTTTCTTTTATGGCTATCAACTTCATCACCAAACTAAACTAAAGAAAATTACATGAGCAGTAAATAAGCAACATTTTTTTTTTTTTTTTTTTTGTACCAGGGATCAAACTCGGGTCCTTGAGCTTCTGAGGTAGGCAGCAGAACCACTGAGCTAAATCCCTGGCTCTAAGCAATGTATTAATTTTAATATTATTGAAAAATAACCAAAATAAATATGGGAGAAAGATATTAAAATTTTTAGATTTTTTTTTTGTGGCGGTTATTCAAGTCCCTTAAAATATTTTTGAAATTTTAAATTCTTTTAGATCTTGGAACTACATGAAAAAGATTGAAATCAGACCAATAGAATGGAAGGTGCCGTTGTCACCTTCTTTCTCCTCAGTTTCCTGTGTTTCCAAGAAGAATGGGCAACTACTTACAAAATTTAACCCAAAACTTTGGCTTAGACAATGAAATGATATAATTCTTCCTTGCTCTTTCTCCCAGTTTGTGAAAAGAAAAAGATTCGTTCCACTCATAAAAGTCTGAGGATTCCTACTGTTCTATTTTCACATAAGTCAGACAAAAGCCATCAGTCAATAAATATTTATCGAACACACGTCAAATGGTAAACACCTTGTCCCTAGATATCAGTGTGGTTTAGATTGTAACAGTTGTGGAGGTACTTACTTGCCTGTATAAGAATTGGGATTCAAAGAAGGCAAGAAACGCAACACTGCTACTGCAACACTGTAGAAATATCCATTTACATCTATGATTGCACTTGGATTTAATATATCTGATGATATCTTGATAAAAAGAGTTTGAACTCTTCAAATTGGAGGGAAGTTGAATAAAAACAGACGCGATTCACTATCATAGTCCCAGCAGATGTCAAATTGCCCTGGGGGAGGGGCTTGACCTTCAAACGTCAGAGAAATAACCCTTTATGATGTTGCCAGAATCTTCAGCTTCCCTCCCCCACAGTAGATTTTCAATTCTGTGAAACAGTAAGATCCAGTTTTGTGTGCACTCTTCCTACCTTCTCAAATATTTCTCTTCTGGAGTTCACTCAAACTATTCTCTTATAGTTTATTTTGATCTCTCGATTTGACCTTTGATTTATCTTACTACTTCCACTTTCTCTCACCTGGATCCATTGTCTAATTTATAATCACTAAGTTATAAATACCTTGAACTCTCTAACTACCTCTTAAGAAAAACTGAAACTCTCTAAAATTCAAATTTTATAATACTCAACACTTATGATAAGACAGATGTATAAATAAAAAAATGTAGATGAATATCCTCACTAGTGTCAACTTAATATATGATGAATGGTTTTAAACGATAGTAAGCCTACATAGATCAGCAGTCTTTTAATTTTCTTATATTCCACAAAAGCATTTACATCTTCAGACTTTCTGAATATCACTTCTCATTCTCCATTTCCTCAAAATGGCTTTTCAGAAAGGAAATTCCATATACTTCTATACAATTCTCTCACAACAAGATCTCTCCTCATCACAAAACTTGTCTCAAATTTTCAGTGCAAAGGAAAATGCTAATTTCAAATTTCCCTTCAATAGGCCTTGAAGCAATTGGCACCTTAATTGCTTCACTTACTGTCTTTGAACCTAGTATAATTAAGAATTTCTTACATCACGCACCCCCCTCAAAAAAATCCATATGTAACCAGGGTTGTCAATAAACTTGGCTTGGATTGCTAAAAAAGTACATAATTGGGCAGGACTTGGCAATAGGTAGTTTATTTGAGGGTGAATAGAAGAAAAAATGAGGAAGTAGAAAAAATGAAATTGGAAGACAAAAACATTGCCAGAAATTGTATTAAGCAGGATTCCCTCATGGGCAAATGCTATTCTCTAGGAAACTTCTGAGAAACTGCATACCACTTGCCCCGGACAGTGTCAGTTATTGGATACAATATGTGCCTGTGGCTTTAGGTAAACTCAGAAAGTAGGGATATAAGGTGGGGCATCCTGAGAGCCTTCTAAATAGCTCACTATTACTTCTGCTTACTGGCTCTTTCTGCTGTCTCTTTTGTTACATTTTCCTTTAAAAATTGGAGTGGACAAGGTCCACTTGTTATACTTCTATTTTCTCTTTTTCATGTTCTCATTGTTTAATCTCATCAAACCTCAAGGCTTTATGTATAATTGAACTTTTCTCAACTCCAGTTCATTTATTTATTTATTTTTGTATTGCTGTTTAAACTCGGGACCTTGCTCTTGCAAAACAGGAGGCAGAACCTTTGAGCTAAATCCCAGACCCTCAACTCCAATTTTGTATTTAAAATATCTACGCAACATGACAACTCTGCTTTGTTTGCTTCTAAACAAATGTACTCAAAATACCCCACAGAAATCCTCTAACATTCCATCTTTCTCATCTTAGTAAGTGGATATATCATTTCCCAAGTTGCCCAGACCTATTACATTCTTCCTCATGGCATATGCCTGGCTCACATTACTTCATTTAGAACTTTTGATACCAACGTAATGAAAAAACTTCCCAAGTATCTGCAAATCTTAATTGTGTTCTTTTCTTCATTTTGCTAATCACCACCTAACAGGTAAAGGTCTGCTGCTAATTGTTAAGGACTATGGATTCTTGAGGGTTTGTTTTTATTTACTGCCAAATCAGCCCCAGTAAGAAGATTGGTATTTGTTGAGAACTCTACTTATAGCTGCTAAATGAAACTATATTGCTGATAAAAAATAAAAAAGAATAAAACAAATTATGAGTTAGTTCAAGCGGAGATAAATCAGTAACAAAGTTGGACAGTAGGAAAACTGGCAAAAGATCAAATTAAGAAAGGCACTTGGGCAGCATATATATGACTAGTGAAAAATCCTATTGACTTTAAAGAATGGTAATACTTTGAAACTCATATTATTTATGTTATAAATGGCATGACCCTTATAATTTTTCAGTTAGATACTCACTCAAGCCTTTTATTTTTAAATTAGCTATATGAGAACCGTTGCTTTATTAGTCCCTTTCCCAGTGCTTGACAAAATACACAACACCCACAACTTAAGAGGAAAGGTTTATTTGGCTTGTGGTTCCAGTGGGCACAGTCCCATTGGCAGTTTCTAAGTCAGAAATAGCACAGTGGGAGGGTCTAGTGAACAGAGTGGCTCATTCAATAGAAGCCAGGAACCAGAGAGAGAGAGGAAGAGTCAAAGACAAGAATACATGCCTTCAAGTCATACCCTCAGTGACTTTTCTCTTCAGCATTACTAACACATTGAGCTATGAGTTCACCAATGGATTAAGCCACAGATGAATTTTTATGTGTTGTATCTAGATGTTCCCACAAACATTTATGTACTCATAGGCAAAGCTTTGAAACATGATTGAATCATGGGCACACTGTAGCTAAATGTGATGTGAGGTAGGGTCTGGTCAGAAGAAGTGGATACTGAAGGTGTGACATTGAAGGATGTGTCTTCTTCCCCAGCTCCTCCCATCTCTGCTTCCCAGCTACCGTGACAAGAACAAGTGTCTTTGAAGCATGCTGCCTTCATCATTCTGCTTTTGCTGAGATCTGGCCAACAACGGCAACAACAAAAGACTGAGACTTCTGAAACTATGAGACAAAATAAACCTTTACTTCTTTAAGATATGAGTTTTGGATATTGTATCTCAGTGACAAAAAAAATGACGGAAAGATGAGTGTTATATCCCCATGATCTAATCACCTTCCCAAAGTCCCACTTTGAACAGATAAAACACTAGGGGAACATTTTAGAATTAAACCAAAACAATCCTCCTCTGGCCCCCAAAATGTTCATGTTCTTTTCACGTAAAATATATTTTGTCCATCTCTAAGAGTTGCCAAAGTCTTAACAGTCCCAGTATTGCTGAAAAGTCCAAGTCCAAAGTCTCCTCTGAGACCTAAGGCAAACTCTTAGCTGTTAAAGCCTATAAAAATAAAAAAAGAATGTTAAATGGTTCCAATATACAGTGTAAACATTCCCTTCCCCAAAAGGAGGACTAGAGGGATAGAAAGGAATTAAAACAAAGCTAGGCTGAAAACCAGTAAGGCAAAGATTAAATCTTGCAGCCCCATGTCCAGTTCACAGAGCAGGGTGTAATGATAATGGCGAGATGTGAGCTCCGTAGGGTCTGGGCAATCTCTCTGCTTTGTCTTTGCCAAGTGAAGTCCACATAGACCCTTTTGTGGGCTGGATTTGCTCATTTCTGCAACTTTCTTGGCAGATGGTACATGTTGCTGACATTTTTAAAACTCCAGTGTAGAATTGGCCTCATTTTAGTTTTTGTCTGTTTGTTTTTAGTGATATTATAAATTAAATCCAGTTTCTTCTCATTGAAATACATCTTCGGTCTATTGTTATTATTATTATTATTGTTATTATGGTTTATTTTGAGACAGGTCTCACTAAGTAACTTGCCCAGGTAGGTCTCGAACTTGTTACCCTTTGTATCAGTCTACCAGAGTGAAAGATTACATTTTTGCATTACTATACCTGGATTAGTTTCACACTTAAAACTTTGTGCATTGCCCTCTAAGGGCATATAGCCCACTCTCATGCTTGAAAGACTCCATGATTCCACAACTCTTGCATTTGTACAGATAATTCCAAAGTCTGCTACAAACTCCAGCAGGAGCAGGGCTCAGTTCTCTTTTCACAGAAATGCCTTTCAAAAGAGTTTACCTTTTTAAACCTTGAGCCTAGATTTATGGAATCTAAGATGACTGATTACAAGGCATCTTCCCTATTTACCTAGAGCAAAGTACCTGCCTTCATTCTAATGATTAATCTTCATGCCAACCAAACTCTCCTTGACCTTAACGTTACTCAGCATTTCTTTCTGGACAGCCTGCAAAATTTTCACATCTTTTGGCTCTGCTTTTTTTGCTCATCATTTTCACTGTAGTGCCCATACCACTGCTTACTTTGAACTTTGCTCCACCAGATCCATTAGTTTGCCACCTTTAAATTTATCCTCAGACAAAGTCTAAGTATATTGGCAAAATATGGATAAGTACTTTGCCAGAATGTAACATCAGTGGCCCCTAGTCCAAACTCCTCATTGCTAACTGAAAGCCATTGTGAATTTGGCCTTTATCATTTGCCTTTACTATTACTATTCTAGTTTTCTGAGCACTCACAATATCTCCTTGTAATATTATCTGGCTTCTCTAGTCAATATCTCCAAATCTTTTCAAACTCCTGTAGCAAAACAGTTCCAAAAGCTTCAGAACCACGTGGTTGGGTGAACCACCGCAATGACACAACTCTCAGTACCAATTTCCTGTATTTCCTGTAACATTAGGCAGAATATCTGGTACTCACAACTTAAAGGAAGTTGTTTATTTCGGAGGCTTCAGTTCGTAGTTGACTGGCTGAAGGCAGAATGGAATGTTAGAAGGTGATGGGAGAGGAAAGCTCAACCTATGGCAGTAGGGAAGTAGATAGAGAGAGACAAGATAAGAACAAGAATAAATTCTTCCAGGTCAAGTCCTCCGGGACCCACCTCCAATCTGCATTAATCCACTAGTGAGTATAGTATTTCCATGATTCAATTACTTTCCAAAAGCCTCATCTTTGAACGTATGAGACTTTCATAGCACATTTTAGTTCAAAATCATAATAGTTGCTGGACATTAAGCATTCATCTTTCTGGTGAAAGAGCTGGTATGAAGAAGTTCTAGACAAGTGGAAGCAGGTTCCTGGTCATCCAGAAATGAAGTGATTTAATAGTTGTCATTGGAAGCAGTCCCTTTGGTAGATTTGTGATGCACTTTTGGAAGGTATTTCTGGAAGTTTAGCCTAATGCCTGTTCCTTTACCTCTTCCAATAACTCTGTACACTATTATAACTATGAAACTATTTGTGATTATATTAGCTACAATAGTTTCTTTTGTCTACATCTGAAAACCTTGCATGATGCAAAGGTACACCTACAAATGAACATAACAAAGAACAAGCATTCTCAGAGCATCAATCAGAATCTTTATGTTATTGGTACTGTTCTGTATAATATGGGCCTCCAGAAATATAATGACTACTGTGATGATTGGAATACAATTCCTGCTTCTGAATGTTCTTCAATTCAATTGTCAGGAGATGGGCGGTTGGAATACCATGCCTAGGATTGTTCTGTGGCTGTATAGTTTTGACACTTCAGCACTTCTAAAAACACGAAGACATTTTTTGACTATTTAATTATGTTAGAGACTGAATTTGCTATTATAAACAATGTCGCAATTTGGAACCATGATGGTTTCACAAAATTGTGAAGTCTGAGTTCTTAAAGGGCACTAAGTATCCTTACCGCAGGTCTTATTTGATAAGACTACATCTGCATTTCTCATTTTAACTATAGCACACATTACAATGCCTGGTGACCATAGATAGTTCAGCATCATAATTATTTATTGAGCATATCAATGAAGGAACAAAGATAAAAATTATTTGAGAAGCACTTATGTTTGAAAACAAAATATTGGTAAAATAATTTACTTGAAACCATAAATAAAATATTTCGGATTTCATGAATGACAAATGAAGTTTCAATGACAATTATTTCTTACATATTTCCATCAAAATGAATAGAAATCATTAATATCATAAACTGTGACCCTGAAAGTGTTGTCAATTTTATTGAGTAGTACAGAACGATTATTTTATCTTTACAATTGATCAAATACATGTGAAGTAAATGTGATTGTGCAGTCACCCACACAGATTATGCTTACTGTCAGGCATCATTGCAGTTGCCTTGGTTCAGTTTCAGCTTTTTTGTGTGTGGGGAAATATAGAGAACATAGCTTGTAACAATATTTGTTCAGTCACAATGACTCCTGTAGGGCTGGCCCTGTCTATCTGCCTACAACATATCTAATTAAGTTACCTATCTACAATAGTCCTGCAAAACATGGAAGTAAAAATCACTTGAGAATTGTAGTGAAATGCCCAGTTTAAGAAAAGCAGCTACAGATATCACAAATATTCAAAGCATTAACTGCCAGGAATAATCCTTAATCCTTTGCTTCCTTGAACTTTCATCAGTATTCTACTCTTTATTCAAAAACAGTGTACCATCGATTTCATGAAATTCACTTTTCCCCATGGGCTCAGAGAGGCTCTAGGGACTAAGTTTGGGTATGTGTACATTCAGTGGGCCATATAAAGTCTGCTCTGTCAAGTATTTCACTCCTCACAACGTGGCTCCTGTTATCAGTGTACTGACCACATTAGACAAAGAAGAGAGACTAATGAGGTTGCACTTTGGATTCAGAAGAACTAGTGTCTAACACTGGCTCCATTAATTAATAGCTATGTAATCTTGGGAAAATTTAAAATCTTCTCTACTCTCTGTTTCCTTATCTACAAATTATTGGTAATAAAAAATTATACTATGAGATATCAGGAGGATAAAATGAGATTAAAAACTAAATAACATTTGCTAGTAATTATCATTTATTAATCAAGAGTTTATTTAGAAATATAAACAAAGTGGAATGTATAAACAATTATAAAAAGTTATAGACCACAATTATATCTTTATTTCATCTTTGCAAACCCCAGTGTTTTATTTCATTAACTTTTTATACAGTTGTTAAGTTTCCCCATTGCTTGGTATCTAGTAGGTTTTCAATAAATATTTAATGACTGACCAAACAAGCATATGCATAACCTTCGTAAAATTTCTGATGAAATTTATCTTATTATTGCTGTAAATGCAAGTGCCTTTGAAACAAATTTATTGAGATGTCAGTTAAAGAATACAGTGGCTATTTATTTGATTTTTCTTTTTTTTCCAACTTTTTTTTTAAACGTGAATAGGATTTCTACATGATTACAAGCACTGCAATTATGATTTAGGATCAAAATTCAATCTTAGATAGAAATCGAATTTCCAAATGGATCCACAGCTGTACCCCTTGCCTTAACCACCTGTTAAGTGACTGGTGGGAACGGAGGTCCTTCTATTTCTCACTTATCATATCCCTTGGTTTCTTGGCACTTAACACACTTCATCACCTTTTCCTTCTTGGAATAGCTTTTTTGCTTGGCTCTTGGGACTATATATACTTTTGGCCTTGCCCTTTTCTGCTCTCTTCATCTGCCATGCTTCTCTTCTGGCTCCATTTCTCTGCCACTCACTCAATGCTTGGTTGTTACAGGTCTTTGCCATTAATGTATTCTGCAGACTCTTGTAAAGTACTTTCATCCAAGCATGGTTGTAAATGTCATGCTGATCCACAAAACCCTCAAATGTATGTTTTCTCATACCCAGATTTACATGATTATCTTCTATTTAATACTCAGTATTTCATCTTTAAAATGACTATGATAGAGTTCTTGATTTGTTTCCTCCTTCCATAACCCACAGCTCAGATAATGACCACCTTTGACACTCCTGAAAAGTACAAAAATCAAGGACATGGTGTACAATCTGCAGATGTATTCTACCACATGTTCCAGACTGACTTGCAGTGAGTATTCTTCAAATTGATGTTTTTCTATGAGATGTATGTCCTCAAATTACGAGAGGCAGAAGTGAGACAGAGGCCATCTTCCTGAGTCTTTGTCTTAATTTTCTTTCATTTACTAGC